TGTATATATTTTGTATATATAATCATGAATCAGTATGAAATAGGATCAAGATTGAACTCTTTATGTTTTTATTCTTTTTTATAAAAAATGTCAATAAAAGTTGAAACAGTTCTTAGAAAGTTTAGATGGACCAGTAACTTGTTGTATAAAAATACGCTGATCATAAACTCAGAGGTTAAACCATACTTTATTATTTGATTCTCAGAAATCTATGCCCACTTCTGAACATTGTTTCCGTCAACTTGAGACAAATCATCTGCTTTTAGACATGTATCGCATTTGACAGATTATCATTTATTGGTTTCTGATAACTCTTGGACATTTGTCTTTAAACTTTACCTTCAATTTTAAACAAGTTGTACTAAGAAGACATAAACTTCTCCTTGACGTTGTTGCACATTTACGTAATTCTGAAACTACATTTCCCAGAAAATGATGATTGAATTTCAGTCCTGTTAGGTTTAAAATTAATTTATTAAATTCCAGTTTCATTAAGGGAAGGGTCAATACTTGTAGGACAAGTATGTATATTCAAATGAATATAATGACCTACCTTTAAATTTAAGGACACTAGGCTTTAGCCCAAAAGACAATTTAATTTATGTTTACTATACATAATTTTCCAATGTAAACATATATGTTTTAACTAATCGCATAAGATTAATCAAATGTGTTAAACAGAATCTGTATTTTAGCTCTAGTATCCCTAAGTAATAACCAAAATTGACTATAAAAACTTTGTCAGTTGGTTTTATTTGAGTTTTCTAAGGATTTAATTGTAAATGTAGCGATTTTCTATTCTTGTAGATTTATATAAAGTTCCTAGGGACCAAGCATTGCTCAGGTAAGCCATTAGTACACCCTAGGAGTGTTCTTTGGTCAACGTCATTTGTCCAAATATTCTTTTGCAATCTGTTAAAACAATAATATCGTAGTTGACTTTGTGTAAGCAAAATTTTTGATTCCTGTATACTGTATACGTTTAGTTGTTACTTTTGGAACCAACACACCCAATAATCAAAACAAATAAATATCTGATAATAAAGTATACTACATTTGATAAGGACAATAATATTTAACAGGCCATAAGACCTTTGTAACGAATACTTAAAGCAAAGGTAAAGCCTTAGTCGTAAAGTTTTAGTTTGTATAGATCAAATTGTGAAGGACAGGCCCGCTTTAAAAAAATGGACCTGCAAACGGGTTTATTTAGGATTGTTGGGAGCGAGAGGAAGAGAAGAATATCTCCGCAAGGTAGGTGTAGAGGGGTGCAATCATCTCGCGGGCCGATTTTACTTGATTGTGTAGAGCGGGATTAACATTAGAGTTCGCGAATCAGCAAGCAAAATTGGGTCATAGCATTGACTATACACAGAATAGACTTCCCATGTGATATGAAAGTTTGAAGCCAAGAAAATAGATGAAGTTCAGGGACCATCTCACCAGAGTTTACCAGTGTATTGGGTTGAATATTAATTAAAATTAATGCAGTATCATAGAAAAGCTGATTGATTTATCACTTAACACAGAATATTGTCATTAGTTGGTAGACCATCTCAACAGATTGCACCACGTTTTATTGGCTTCAAATTTTTACATTACATGGGAAATCTATTCTGTGTATAGTCAATGGTCATAGGAACAAAGTGTTATGGGTTTTGCATTTCTCCAAAAATTGGTTTTTCAATTTTTGACCCTTAGTACATTGAAATGTCCAATTTTTTTTACAACCATTGTGTGAAGCTTAAAAAAGTAATAATTTTGTTTAGTAAAGCGTTGTTGTACAATTAAAGGTTAAGGAGCAATTTTCTTTAACTGTCCATTTAAAAATCACGTGCTATTCTTATCGAGAAAAATAACACTGTTTTAGTTTGCTTGTTTATGGATAGATTTTAATCAAATTTACAAATTCGTTCATTTTCCTGTACTAACAATATTTTATCAAAGAAATCACATTTTCTCTTCCCCGAAGACCAATTTTAATAACTCGTTAAATCTATTTTTTTACGAGAAATAAATACTTATTGTTTATGGAAATATTTGAGTAAAAATCCAATCAGACAAATTGAAGTTTTCTTAGTCTGCAGGTTTTCTGCGGAGGTGGTGTTCTGAAGTGTTTTCTGTAGACGCCCATGTTTAATTTTATATGCAACATTCGGACCATCTAGGTTATTAGTTGTTTTAAAAGTGTACAAAACAATTAATTAATATTAGCCCTTAATCTTTTGAAATCTTAGTCAGCTGATTTAAATGCCCAGAAATAGGTTTATATACCATCAAAGTCATATCACTGGAGAAACTATATACATAAACACATATAATTATTGTTTTCAAGTTACATGTAAATCAAGCGCGTTATGGTTTAATTTCTAAAATTATTTTGTATGTTTGTTGTTGTGTTTATATCACATAAACCTCCATTCCCATAGTCCAATCATACTGATTCACAAATTTGTTCGAAAAAACGTAGGTTTACACGCTTGTACCAAATATTGGAAGATGTATTACAATAGGTAATGCTGTGAAATACTAAATGAAATAATATTTAAGTTTAAAAAATACTATTAATCTGCTACCTTATTTATCTAAAAAACAGGTAAGAGTTAAAGTTAAGAGTATTTTGTTTTGTTTTCTCATTAATTTTACTTACTATTAATTTTACAACTGGATATGGACCAAATTTATTTTTTTAGTACCCAACGGTATATATCAGATTGTCGTTTTCTTTCGCTCTGTATAAACGTACGTTACAATAATGTATGTACGGTAATGTCAAACTGCCATGGTGACATGGCATCCCATAAAGCCCATGTTAAATTTTCAAAATGTTGTACTTTTATTATGACGATAATAGTTTTTTCCTGGATATAAGACCGGTCCAGAATTAATTTTTGACACAGATTTTGGCTATACCGTAAGTATGGACACGTTTCTTGCAGCCGATTCCGAGATCAAAGTAACTAGTATTCAAACTTTACTTATATTTACGACGGCCCTGAAGGGACACTCAGTTTCTTTTTGTCTTTCATTTTACTACGACTTTTTTCTCGAAGTACTTCGACATTTCTATCTAGTCTAGTTTTACTTCAACTCAACTTCAATACAAATACGTTCATTCTATTCTGTTTCTGTTTCTGATTCTTTCTCTGTCTGCTGTCTCACTGCTGTCTCTCGTCTCTGTCGTACTCAGACCTAATAAAATCCTTGACAGAGTCAATTTCAGAAAAGTGTTTCTTTCTATGAAGTCCGAGCTTCGGTATACCTTTTAAGTGTTATGCAAATGTTATGCTTCAATAAAAGAATTGCAAGTATTTCAGGCTGTTGAAGGCCTAAACTAAAATATTGTTCAATCAGTTCATTAATGTCATATTCCATTATGTGTCCTAAAGCTCAAACCTCTTTCTGTCTGCCAATTCTTATCAAAAATATGTCTACATCAGAAACACCCCTACATCAACAGTTAGTTGGGTTGTGGTTGCCGTAAAATTATAACAAACTATAATAAGAGCACATTCGAGAATAAAGTCGAAGTACTTCGAGAATAAAGTCGAAGTACTTCGAGAATAAAGTCGAAGTACTTCGAGAATAAAGTCGAAGTACTTCGAGATAAAAGTCGAAGTGAATGAAAGACAAAAAGAAACGAGAATGTCCCTTCAGGGCCGTCGTACATATTATATATTGGTATGGGCTTTATTTAACTTACAAATTTTATATAAGTGAAATTAAATTCTCCTACTGTTTTGTAGCTTTTTAGAATATCCAATGTTAATGTTATTCCTCGTCTGGGGACTTAAGAGAGACTATTTAATTTAGCTTTTAAACTAAAACCCAAATAAACAAAATAATTTTTTAGCGTTTGATGAGTACGTTCTCTTTCGTTAGACACGAAAATGAGTGAAACCGAATGAGACCTAATTAGGTCTCAATCTATCTCAGAATAATTAGTACCGTCACATAATGAAAAATAATTCAAATGCACAATGCATTAATTAATTTATTTAAGTCATTCAAACACCATGATTCATTGTATTTATGAAGAAGGTAACCATGTACAACATTTATGCTCATGTGCCTGTGTTTTAAATCAACTATTTTGTGATGTATAGGTGTCAAAATCTACAACTAATTATTTTCTGTCAGAAGCCTAGATATGATATCCATGCTCGGGGACTAGTGCCTCACCTCAAGAGCAGAACATACTATTCTTTGGATGAATATTTTGATGGCTTTCTATACAACCTCGGCTTAATTTTTACTCACGCAAACCCAAGTTTGTTAACTTTATTATATGGATTTTATTTTATTTTAAAGAATCACCGTCAGCATCAAGCCCGGTGGGGGAAAAGATGTGGAAACTTTATGTTATAAGCGAACATTTGATTCGCCACTTTCAGTATACTGGGTAAACGTTAATGTTAAAAATCTCATATCACAAAATCTGTTTACAAGCTTAGCATCCTCAATGTCTCCATCAAGATAGTTCTTACGAATATTCATAGTTTGAAACTGATTTATTTGTGTAGGTAAAAGGTTCTGTTCTGATAGTAGATTTTGGCATCCATACTGTATCTCGATATTTTATTTACTATCAATTTTACATCTTCTAGTTACCCACTTACTGACATAAGATCTTCACAATCATAGCCTCTAAAACTTTGGTGTCAGGAAAGCAGAGTGTGAACGTAAAATTTACCGAGGTATTGGCGTGGTGTTTGTGAGTGTTTTTGTTGACTCGGCGCACTCAATCAATGCATAAGGTAGACTAGTCCGTAGTAGAGTGACAGGTAAATATTATTTTATTGATGTGCAGCGATGGAAATCACTGTGTTGTCACACGCACCAACAGTTGAGTCATTATCGTTATCCGATTTGGGAATTTCTTTCCTCAATTATTTATTAGTCGTAACACAGTTTTAACACGATCCTGATTTTCCCTTATTCGACAGACGAAGGATCTTCAACGTCAGGTAAATTTTCAGAACAAAATTAAAATACACAAATGAAAAAAAAATCATCACCAAATTTATTAAACTAAATATACAGACGAAAATATTACAAAAGTACAAAAGACAAATAAATAACGTATAGTGGTAGACTACCTGAGAGGTACAAATAATTTAAAGTAACACTAACATTATTCTGGTAACTGTAATCTTTGCTTGTACAATAGTTATTAAATAATACTGAAAAGTTATAAGGTGTGCAAGTATATATTTGGGAGGAGTTAAACACTAAATTGTACAGTTGTTTATTTAGGACCATTCGTGCTAACATTTCCTATAATGTTACATCGTTTGGGACCCAATTAACGAAACCGTCAATGTAAACATTTTCATGTGTTAGTTAAAGGGAAAACAAACTAGCAATGAATTAGTTAAGTTGTGTATCCAAAAAATAAGAATTTGCTACATTAATTTTTTTTAATAATAATACAAAGGATAAAATCATTACTTGCTATGGTTTTCAAACAACTTAAAACATACTTAACCTAAAAATAAATAGGTTTTATATAGTATTTTCAACATCTTGCTGAATGATTTGATTTAAAAAAGTGTTCATTTTGGTAATATGTATTAGCCTAGTTTAGGATTTATAGCTTATATTATTGACCTTTACACGCCCTACCATGATAGACATCCCCTTTTTATGAACCTATTTAACCACCATTTCAAATACACCAAACTTTAATTGGCCATTCAGGAAGTAAGCTTCTGTCACAATTACATTTCTTCTTTTATTTTTTAACAACGTAATACTGTAGTTTTTACTATATACAATATTCTGCAATTTATACATAGTTTGACATCAGTTAGCAATATACAGGGTCATTGATATAAGTGTGCTAGCTGTTTTATTCGAAAGTTATAAGATATATCAAAAATTGTAAATTCTAACTGCCTTGGATTTTTTATTTAAAATATTTTGGTCAAGTTGGAAAAATAATTTTAGCCATCATTTTTCCAATATGGCCACCAACTTTAATTTTTCTTGTTGAAGACCCTATATTTTTATGATTTATTTAGAAAGTAAATGCCATTTAAAAACGTTTTAATACTCGGCAGTTTTTCTCCAAAGCTACTCATTTAGGAGTTACAGCGTGTTAAAACTAAGAAAAATGACTTGCAGTGTACATTCTGCGCCATGTAGCTCCTAAATGACTAAGTTAAGAAAGAAAATAGATAGAGTAAATAAGTCTTAAAATTGCATCTACATTTCTTAAACCCCATAAAATACGTAGTTTCCTTTTTTCTGCCATTTTGGAAAATGGCGGCCATTTTGAAATAATGTAATCAATATTTTTATGGCTTTAATAAACTGTATAGAATCGAGATGCAATTTAAAGACTTATTTACTCTTACCATTTTCTCTCTAAACTTACTCATTTAGGAGCTAAATGGGGCAGAATGCACCATGATGTGACCATGGTGTGATGATAGAATCTATAATCACCACATCTGATGTGGTAACTCATTTTGCGTTTTTTGCAAGTAATTTTTACTTAGTTTTAACACGCTGTAACTCCTAAATGAGTGGCTTTAGAGAAACAAATGCGAACAATAAAAACGTTTTTAAATGACATTTACTTTCAAAATAAATCATCAAATATAGGGTCTTCCATAAGAAAAATCAAAGTTGGCGACCATATTAGAAAAATAGCGGCAAAAATTATTTTTTTAACTTGACCAAAATTTTTTTTATGAAAAATCCAAGGGCGTTATAATTTAACAATTTTGTAATATCTCTTGTAGCTTTCGACATAAACAGCTGGCTCATCAATCACCCTGTATACTCAGCAGAAATTAGTATTTAACAATAAAACACTTTTAGATACTCTATTTGATTACTTTATGTTTTATTCTAATAATGTGTACAGCTTTGACATAACAAATGAATGTCTAGTTCCATTCATTGTCAAACATTGTATTTATAATGGTTTAAATACCTGCATTTAGTAATGCAAATTGATTACTTTTTTTATTACTGAATGCAGGTATTTAAACCGTTACATATATTCAAACGTAATCCGGGGGTTAACAAATCTTGAAACATGAAAAAGAGTTATATGTTTTCGTATGAGGTTCTTTCTAGATTCCCTATCTCAAAAAGAAACAAAAATAAAAAAAAACTAGGCAGACTACACAGTTCATCATATTCTTAAACATTATTTATGAATAGGTATCAACTTAACTCAAATATTTTAACTATATTTAATTAATAATTTTATTTTGAATAATTTAGTAATTTAAATTGTATACAGCAGTGAGTGAATGTGAAAGAATTTGGGGAAATGTGTACTAAATGAGTTTAAAAAATTAGTGTAGAGCAGTGATTAATTTAAAATATTCAAAAATGTGTTCCTTAAATAATGCGGACGGTAAATGCCAAATTCGAACCGGCAGCGGCAGCCAGAGTAAGTTTCCGTAATAATTACCCATCACTACTTCTTGGTTATGAAGCTGCCGTCATATGCTGAACATTTTATGTGAGTTGAGTTTTACATTATATTAATCCCTTATCAATCAATATGCTTAGTAGGAAGGCTTCTTTGGTAAAGGTGTAAAATAAAAGTAGAGTTTATAAACATAAATCTTAAAATAAAAAATATATATAACTATCACACTATAACCATGTAAATACAAAATATTTAGAAATACGTTTGATATGTCATAATAAATTGAAATCAAGATTCGTTCTTTTTATAAAACCTCTTGAGCTAGGATATCTCGCTTATTATGCATTTTTTGTAAATTGTCATTCTTGATTTTCGTTTTATTTTGACCCATTAAACCTATTCCTAACATTTTTGTTCTTAGTTACGGACACATTGTATTATTTAAAAAGTATAATTGCACATAAAAAAACCAGAAACCATGGTTTTACGCTTAAAAAATAATGAATTTTGGCTTAACACTATTAGCTTATGACTACTCTACCTATTTTATACCTACATCTTGAGGCGTAAGAGACTACATAAAGAGCATTTAGTAAAATGTTTCTAACAATTTCCTTTCATTTTGGATACCATAAATACTATCTAAAACAGCCTTAAAAGACGTAATGTATGCCTACATTTATTTATAAATATTGAATTCACCGATGAGTTATCATCAAAACAGTGTGCCCTGTAAACTAAAAACTTCTCACATTCAGTAAAGAAGCATTAGAAATCTCACCTTTTGTCCAAATACATTTTAGCAATTGTGTACGTTGATTTTGTAAAGATACTTTAAACGTATATTCAGCCTCTTTGGTCGTTATAGAACTGTTAAAAATATAAACTATTTTACCTACGACCGTTTTTTTAACTAGCCATTTCAGTTTCGGTTCTCCGAATGGAAAGAAAATACTTTACAGCATTTTTTTTACATTACAACACTATCAATGAGGTTGAATGATTGAGAGAAAAGAAGATTTTTTATGCTTTGTACGTCAACTTATCAGCTGTTAAGACCAATTTAAATGTTAATGAGTGGTTGATACAATGAATCGTTGCATCAATATAGTGATATTGATGCAATTAAAGGTTATACAGTAAATTAAAACATAACCTTAGAAGTTAGGAGTAGTGATTGTTAGTAAAAACGGTCGTAGTAAAGTAGTGTACGCAACTCGCGTGAACAGTCTTTACGCGATCGTTGCGTAAACTACTATAAATGTGTGCTAAAGATCAAGTCTGTAAGGTTATCGTTATCGACGGTCACAAGGCAAGAACGGTGCCCATAACTATGAACAAGCGCATCGCTGAACCTGCATTCCCTTCCAGGTGGATACTTTGAGTGAAGAAGGATCTGTCTCGTCCAGATGTAGGACTTCAATGTCTGCAAGAACGTGGGGAGCGCAGCAGGGTCTGGGTACTTTGTACATCTGCCAGACGAGACTCTGCAGAAGAGCGTGTTGACTAGCAGGATGGTATCTTGGAGGACATCGGCCCTGAGAATAACCATCCAAAGAAATCAGCCACGTAAATGTGTTAAGCATATACTACGAATATGTTCAAACACTATCCAAGACATTATTGTGGACATTTCCCATCACAATCAGTAAATGACAAAAATAATTAGGTTTCTGAGGTGAGAATAGTATATTTCATTTCAAGTACCAAGAGTGGCATGTTTCGGTGCGTGCTTAAGTTCCAAGTGTAAATCGCCGAACATGTGGAAGTTTCACGTACGAGGAAAAGCCGACGACGGGAAGAATTGTGGAGCAAGTGCCGGAAAATCCCTTTCGGTTAGAGCTATGAGTGACACTTCATCACGATGCAAAAATACACACATACAGAATAATAGACCTTGGTAAAGTTTTAAACATTATATTTCCCAATAAAACTTTTAAAAATATACAAATAAAAGTAAATGGGGTATAGAAAATCTACGTAACGACGTAAAGATTACATGACAAAATGCTAAAAAATGTGCGAAACTAGCTTATGCCTATTTTCATTTAAGGTTTTATTCCCCAATAAAAATGAAATGAAATGAAATGAAAGGTTGCCGCAAACAGATTTCAAATATCTCTATCTATATTTATTTTTATGAGAGCAGATATCAAAGGAAATAATGGTTTACAAGAAAATTATTTAATTATTTATCAGGTGTTTTACTGTTCCCCAACAGTAAAACACCTGATTTAAATAATTTTCTTGTAAACCATTATTTCCTTTGATATCTGCTCTCATAAAAATAAATATAGATAGAGATATTTGAAATCTGTTTGCGGCAACCTTCTTAGATATGAGGGGATACAATAACTATGGTCAATTTTGAAAATTTTGCCTTTAGGGGTAGTGGGAGTAGGGGGTAGCTCAAAAGTTTCAAATTACAAGTATAGTCGAGTTTGGTATCATTTATAGGTCTTGACGAAACAACAAAATTGACATAAAGAAAACCAAAATCGGTCGATTAATAACATGAGATTCGTTATAATAACATGACTGTAGATTTTAGGTGTGGTTTTGGTGTACCAAATCTTACTGATTTATCTGTTATCGTTTAGAAAATATTGAACCGGTCCGGGACTTTTGGGACAGTCTGTATATTTTGATCAAACTTGGCAAGTTTATTTATTTTATACTAAGCTATTAATAGTTTACTAAAAAGGCACGTTATTACTTTCCTTGTAGCAGCAAACCTAGGTACTCGTTAAACCTCATTTTATTTAAATAAATTTAATTGAAAATCAATCGAGACAAATGGAAATCCGTTTAGTCGGAAGGTAAGCTGGGTCGGGGGTATTTTTTATAAATTTTGATACAAACGACCCAAAAAAGTTTCATCTTTGCCAAAACACTGGCAGTTTTACAAGGATTAACAACTTAGCTTTGTTCAACAGTTTTAAGTTTGTAATTTTACATCGCCGCCGTTTTGGCAATGTTGGCAATCATCTGCCGGCATCGTGGCACTGATTTCTCTTCATAGAGACCTTTAATTTTATGTACTACTTTACGTATGTTCTAATTTAAGCTTTTATTTCAACGCCTTGTGAACTTTACCCAGTATGATGGAAAAAGATTTGCTTCAAAATGTACAGGTTTGTATGGTATCAATTTGCAAAGCTTCTTTGCATTATCTGCAATGGCTAAAAAATTTAATTCTGTTCTTGGGCTTTTTGAAGATCCTGTATACAATATACGTCAAAGGTAAAAAATAAATCATATTTATATACACTGATCATCTTTGTCAATTTACCTTACAAAACCCTGCGTTGAATTTATACGGCTGCAAGATAAACTCGAACCCAGGAACGTCTTTAAACACCACTTCCATGGAGTGGCGGCAGCAACGACCGTGGTTGGGGCCTTTGCGGCAGTCTGAGCCCAGGGTCTCGTCGTACCGGTGCTCTGCCTCCATGGCCCTAGGACTGCGAGGATACGATTCCCTGTCGGTCAACAGAACGTTCAGGACGGGGTCAAAGGAAGAAGCTTCAGGCCCTGTGCCGGAGACGAGCCTGACCCCTCTCCCACTGCACTCATCACACTCCACCTCCAGGCCCAGGTTTCTAAACAAATTATAGTGTGTGATTTAGTTTAGAAATTGAGAATTTAGAGGAATTTGCATTTGCCCGTCCGCATAGGCCTAGAGCCTGTGCGTAGAATGTATCCAGCATTGAACGGGGTGAACCGGTACAGACAAGGGTGAATTGTAGTGATACAATTTAGCTGCAGGTATCAGAATCCGAACTCACGTTATCGCTGACATGGATGATCCGTCATCAGTTGAGCCACCGACTCACAATCGACTTATTTGTGTCTTAAAGACCTACACCTTAAGCAAAGTACAAGCGAAATGACATTTGTACACATCGGTGACATTTGATCACATTGACAGATTAAAGGTATTTTAACCTCTAGATTAATTTAAATTTGTGATCAGGAGGCGAAAAAAAAAAACAGAAATAAAGTACAAGCGATTGTGTACCAGGATTAACAAATTTTCAAAAGCCATATTATAACTCGAGTCTCTAGGTGAGAAGTCCCAGACCGGCCGTACCGACTAAATATCTGATAACGACAGTAAACCGCGCTTTGTCAACTTTTATAAACCCGCACTTTGCAGTACAATTTAACAGGTCAGGTAGTACAGTAAGCTAAAAACTAGAAAAAAATTTTTACTTGTGGATAGCGTCCTTTCTATTCAAGTGCATATTCCTATTGATGTTTGGAAACTCTTTTAATTTGTCCGTTAAAAACTAAATTTTCGCAGATTTATTTAGTACTTATCATACCATCACAACATGTTGTTAGTTTCGTATAACGAAGCAAAACAACGATTTAAACAGCACATCGTATTAATAAGTATGCATATAGTAAAGCCCTCTGAATTAGCTGTAAGTTTTAACATTAGTTATCCTATTAAACAAACCTTTTATAGTATAACAAACATGCGATGAAAATATCTTTCTAAGTTCGTTGCTAGCACGGTGATAGATGTACAGTAGTTTAAAAACAATGTCAAGCTTTATAGTGATATTAGGTAAAATAATTGAAGCTTGATTTAATTTTCCTTAAAATCTGTTTATTTGACAAGTAAGCAGAACGAACCTTTGCCCTGAGATCCAATAGATGACTGCAGGAACTACGTCCAGCTCTACCCATCGGGAGGTGTCCTTCAGTACAAGCCTCCTGGAGTCCAAGAGGGTTCTACCCCCTCCATTCTCCATCAGGTACACTCTTAGTGTCAGCGGCGTCGAAGGGCTCTGCCCCAGTGGCGCCACAGCGAATATTCTCAACGTAGCTTGGTTTACTGTTGCATTTTTTACTCCCACTGGAAAGTAGAGAAGTTCGTGGCTACCGTGATAGTTCTTGACGTTCGGAGCTCCTCCTAGTAACAGAATAGTCCTGAGACCGTTTAATGTACAGCTGCATATTATAACCATTAAAACCCCTTAATCATTACAAGTGCGCCTAAAAAGAAGAAAAATAAAAAATAAAAATAAAATAGAAAAGTAGAAAAGTAAAAAGTAGAAGTAGGTTCATGGACATGTCATGTCAATGCAGAAAAAGTTTTCAAAACTAATGATTTAATATTTTAATATCCAATATCTCATTGTATGTTTCAATATTTTTTAACTTTTTAAATCTTTGAAAGTTTATTAAAATAGTAAAAAAATATATTTAAATTTATTCACTATGGCATAAATGTCGTGAACCCAAGTAGAAGCATGAAGCGAGAAGGAATTCTTCAAAATATTTTGGCGACGTATGTTAAACTTACTTAAATTACTTAAATACTAACAATTTAATTCGTTTAACACAATTTAAAAATTATCTTGACTTAATTTAGTTTCATTTAGTAAACTCAATTATCATTCAATTGATGATGGTTATTTCAGTTAGTACACTTGCCGATTGCGAATTTAATTGTTTTGGTGATTCTGATAAGGATATAATTTAATTTCTCGTAAACGGCCAACACGCCTTGTCTGTAATCTCTAAAGGAAAGGAATACGTACTTTTAGATATTTTTAGATACTAAATGAAAGGTTGGGTTTAGAACAATTGTCTTAATACTTACTTCCCAAACAAAACTTTGCAAGACAAAAGGAAACTGATATTTTCATGACAGAGAAATGACCAGAGGAGCTATTGCCTAAAATTGATCTTAGCCTAGATTTTGACCTATTTTTGTTTAAATATCCTTTAAATCCTCCGTATTCGCTTTCCAAGAATCATAAGGATCTAAAACTACATTTAGCTGAGTTAATTACCAAAATGAGCGATACTATAAAAGCGTTGCGATTTGGCGTAGGTGTCTCTTTGCAGGCGAATCTTCTTGTTTTCTCTCACTGTCTGGAGATAGGTTTCATACTTAGTTGTGTACTCGGTTTCACTGATGTTCATCTACAAAAAGATAAATCACGTAAGTTTCAGTTTTCCTTTATCATTCATGGAATAGTTCAATATATCTAAAGCATGTCGTTTCATAATGTACACACGTGTTAAAAATATTTAACTTAAAATTAGGTTATTTTAAAAATTTATTTAAAAGCGATATTTTTTGTAAGCATACTTAGTCTTTTACGTTTTGAGAAAAAAAAACGTATTTCCCCCCAATGTTACTTAAAAATGCATTTAATATAAAAACTAAATTTAACGCTTGTATCACTTTGATGGTAAATCTCAAAGATATAAATATTTAACGCTCCAATCAACGATCACATAAGACCAGGGTCTTATGTGATCGTTGGCTCCAATGCCACTAATATTTACAATACAAGATAAGGAAGCACAGACAGTCTTGGAAAGTGAAAAAAGAAAATTATTTTGAAGTACACTTTTCTTACAAAATAAAATGTAATTTTATGATCTATTGCCAAATAATAAGCATTCAGTAAGTGTAAACATAAGTAACAATAATTGCAAATTGATGTGTAGATAAATGTGACTGATGTAAAAAGTTAGTATTTCTATTCTAGTTACACTTAAATTCAATTTTATAATTATATAACAATTGTTTGAAAGTAAATTATTTTTAGCTCACGCATTTTACTCAAAATAAAGAACTTTTTTTATTAGCATTAGCGTATATATTTTATGCAGCGCACTGTTTAGGGTCAGGTCGTCTGAGGGTAGTGTGGGGTGGGGGTAGGCTCGTTGGAAAGCCTACACGATGCCATTATCTGTGGTCATAGAGCAGTGGTCACCTGAATCGAATTAAAAAAGTATTGATTCAGTCATTGCAACTCAGTGGGTCCCGTGCATTTTTTTAATTAGGGCGACATGGATTCCGTCAAGTAGCATAATAATAGGTGGGTTACCAACTTAAGAACAACGGCTTCTGCATTCAAAAAGAAGCTGACAAGCCGCCCAAAGCAGATCGGACGCCAGACAACTAAGATTTGGTAGAGTTTGTGCTGCTGTGGAAAACAGTCCTCGTAGGCACGCCCGAAAACAAGCATCTGCTTTGAACACGTCTGACCGCTTGGTTACACTAATTTTGAAGTTCGATGTTAATTCTTATCCCTACAGATTGATTTGTTTTAATCTGTTTAATTATGTTGATTATCCATACGGGTAATTGCGACGGAACTTCTCCATGTCGAAAGGAATGCATGGACATGCCGCTGAGCTGCAATGACTTAATGATTATTTTTTTAAATCAATTCTATCACAAACGTGCGCGTTGCTCAGGTAAACAGTGCTGTTTGAGTACAGAGTACAGATAAGGGCTTCGGGTAGGCTTTCTAACGAGCCTACCCCCCCCCCCCCAACCAACCCCCCGACCACCAGACGGCCTGTCGCTGAAAAGTACGCTGCAGAAAACAGATCGGGGTTTTGCCGCACTCTGTCGATCTAGCAGTTTGCGTTCATGAACGTTTTGAATTTACTTATAAGAGTTGTTTTTTTTTAAGTACTTGAACACCCGTTCCTCATTCTAAAAACTATATCAATTTACAACATAAAAGTTTATAAGTTAATAATTTGTATAAAACTTCTAAAAACCAATCAGGTTCGTACCAAAGGAAGTAATGAAGGTACTCTTAACCAACTGTCCTTTAAAAATTGAAAATAAGTTTAAGAAAACTATAAAAAGCATATACAAATTACCAATACAGTCCCTTATAACATTGTTTTTAGTTCAGACTTTTATATGCCTATACATACCAAGTTTATCCCCAAACAAAATAATAACGAATTATTCTACTCTTTTTATGTGTATTGTATTAATTACACTTGACGTATAATATATATAGTTGATAAAATGATATATTGTTTGAAACAGAATGGTTTATTACGGCAGTGTACGGCGACCGTTGGTATAATAAAAAAAAATATCGTGGAACTAAATATACATAATATTCTCCTACAGCCCGGACCTTATCGTCTCCCTAATCATAAGAAAAATCCTCTTCATATGCTTGCTTGACAGATGAGATAGCTATTTCCGATTTCTGTGGGCTGGATCCACCCTTACTGATTTTCCAATCCATCAAAAAGGGAGAAAAACTGATCTTATAAAATATTGATCACGAAGAAACTGACTAAGAATTAGCTACGCTTCACTAATATTTAAAAATATGCATATTTACTACGGTGAACATAAATTACTAGGCTTAGCTCGTTGATTTTTGCAACTTTTTATAGTATAGGCCTACGCCGTTGGTGTTTTCTAAAACTGGGAAAAATTAAGTGGTTAAGTCGGATATTGAACCCGCCACTCTTGTACCGAAGTCCGTGGCCCTAACAACTCGACTAGTAACACAACTGATCAAATAAATACAAAAATGTATATTTAACTCTTAAATATACGTTTTATTCGAAAGTATACATTATTTTTTATATATTTTAGTTGACACAGCTATTAAGTAAATAATTTGTTGAGTAGTGTTAAAAAGTGTTTACCTTGAATGATAAACAATTATAAATAGTTAAACAGTAATGGATAAAAGAATTCGTCGTAAGAATACAGCTGATCCGAATTATGAGTTGGTTGTTAAATATGATCGTGTAATAAAACTAGTGGTTTTTATTTCACGCGGGATTCCAGGAAGTTGGTTCCAATGAACACAGGTCTTTCTCAACGATGTAAATAACTACATTTGAGTTGTTTGCATCGTTGTTCTTTCTTCATGGTTACTTGATTTTTATGACGTTAGGACTTTATAAAAGTGTTCAAAGATGTTAGTGCTATTTTTCTTTAGTTCACATTTATTTAATTATGAAATTTATTCCCTTCCCATTCAGAAATTCAGCCTGTTTTTCATTTTAGCTTTCAGTTATAAGGATTTGAAAATACCAAAGGTTATACAAGGTTGCTCGAATTTCCATGCCGTTTTAGTGGTAGAAAATAAATACTTGCGTAAGCCAATAACAGTATTTTTATTTTTCTCAAACAGACATTTTATCTTATGATATAGAAAAAACTGCTACCTTTATTTTACAATTCCTAGAAACCAGGTAAACAGTTTTTCGTAATAGGCTTTGATATTTAAAGGTACGTACCCATTTATCCTATATAAACGAAACCATCATTCAATTTAAGACTGGCACATGTGCCATAAGTTTTATTAGGATATGATGTATTAAAACAAATGAGCCCCTTAGTGCAGCCCATGTTTTGCAACATTTTTCTGAGACATCTAAAAAAAAAATTCCTACGTCATCCGAGCTTATAAACAAGATTTTAAATACATTCAGGGGATTTCCCCATTCTTAAGGTAAAATATTATATAGGGATTCTTAAATTATTAGCAGCTTTAATAGTAGTATATTAAAGTAGATAGTAGGATTGAAGTACAACGATGACTCGTAGAAGTTTAACTCTATTTACGCGAGCTGCGTAAACTACTTTACATAGGACAGTGTTTTAATTACAGAAAATCACTACTCATAACTTCTAAGAGAGGTTATGTCTTCGTTTATAGCCTCTCATAGCCACTGAAAGTGGTGCAACGAAACATTGTAACAAACACTAATTGCACAACTCAACAATTAAATTGGCCCGAACAGCTGAATAATATTTTAAGTTTGAATCATTACAATTTTACTTCTTCTCTCTCAATCCTTGAACCTCATTGGTCCGTTACCCATGTTGTTATGAGTAAAACTATGCTGTTATGAAAGTAAACCATGCTGTTATGTGGAACTTTTAAATTCTACGAACAGAACTGAAACGGCTACTTAAAAAAACGGTCGTAGGTAAAACATTTAATAGTCTAAAATATAAAAAAAACACAAGAACCTGGTTGCCCAAAATAGGATTGTACTTGAGATAAGGTTTTACAAAATATTGTTAGAGGATTGACAAAAGGAAAACATCTGCTTGAGTTGAGTTGAGTACTTCGACCATGATCCTGTATAGTGTTGTTACCACTTACCTTTCGAATTTTCATACAAAAACGCACATATTTAAATTGACACTTTCAACCAACATTTTATTCTTTGTTTGAAAGATTGTTTATACAATATTTACTTGTTCACTAAAACCTAGTAATCTTTTGTCTTTTACGGAACATATAACAATACTACATATTATTTACCAATTTAGACATATCATTAAAACCCTATTTATATAAATTATGCATGATTTAAATTTATATAAAATATTATTCTTATCCATGCATTTTAAATTTTTATATATTGATCAAAAGCACTTTTTTTAAACCTCTTGTTTGGAAATTTCAATTTCAATATATTGTTCCTAATATATTACCTAAAGCCCATTTTCAAATAGTTCAAAACAAGTTAGAACCTTCTTAGGCTATTTGTAAATTTTGTAACATAACACTCTATCACACTAATATAAGAAATTATGTTCAAGAAACTTTACTATGTAAATACTTACATAAATACCAATGAAAATTATCATTTTCAGACGTCCATTTTCAATCCAAAATGAGCCGTTTTCCTTTCGGTTTGTATAGTGATCGGTATGCACATCTGGGAGGAGTAAATTAAATTATGCTTTTGATTCCAGTGTTGAGTATTTTTTCCTAGGAAGTTCTGTAACATATTGCTGGGTGGAGTGACAATGACGTAGTTCTCCATTTACGTCATCCCAGAGAAGGTAAGCAGCTCATTCAGTAGAGGATGAAATTGGATTTCTGGCCAAGGGTAAGTCTTATAGGTTTCAAGACTTTTATACTTTATCGTTACAAATTACAACATTAGACTTGATATTTCTCCAGTCCACATTTAACATTTCCGTTTGATTTTAGCGAATTTCCCTATAGGGAAGTAGCTATTACCGTAGGTCTCAAAGGTAAGACTTAGGCCCGGGACCGATTTACTTTTTCATTTTAATGTCCCCAGAGGCCAAAAACACCATTCTTTCAAATTTTTATATATGTATATATATATATAGATTTATATATATATATATATATAGATTTATATATATA